AGTCCGTTTTTTTTTGATTTGTTAAAATCTAATCTTCAATTCGCAATCCTCAGAATCCGACGCATACATAATTATATATATATATATAATTTAATATATATGTTTACATATATGACGTATAAACAAATTTTTCTTTTTTTCTTCAAACTTAATTTTTATAAAAAACAATGCAAAATTATTTTTTAAATTCTTTTTTAAATATTTTTATTATTATTATTTATTTATTATTATTTTTTGTAATTTTATAAAAAAAACAGAAATTTTATAAAAAAAAAGAATATGTAAACATGTATGGTCATATACAAACATGAACATATATTGTACATAATTATATATATTTAAATGTATATATTTAAATACATTTTATGTATATTTATATATTTATACATATTATCATATAAAAAAATTTTTATTAGGTAATATTAATTAATTGACCTTTTTACTTTTTTTTATTTAATAAAGTTGCAACAAATTATGTTATTATATATTGATTTTTTATTACTATTTCTTATTACTTTCATATCTGCTATTCTCTGTGAAACATTCTTCAATTAAAATTACATACTTTTTAAAGAGAGAAAGCTATATTTCTATTCTATTAATTTAAAATAAGATTTACTTCATTCTCTAATCTGGGAAGAAAAAGAAAATTATTTTTAAATATTGTGCCAATGCGCAGTTATGTCGATATGAAAAAAGTATGTCTCTTTTGCTTAGGTAAGTTTGCTTTAATTTTTAATAAAACTATGTTATGCTTATATTACTTGCGCATGATTTTTATTGGGATTTTATTAGGTGTTGGAATTAATTCGTAGCGTTTTACAAGTGATGGGAAGTACTTTCATTAATGTATTTTTTAATGCTCATGTGAAATAAATAACATTCTTTCATTAAAAACGCTACGAATTAATTCCAACACCTAATAATTTTATAATTACATCGTATAATATAGTAATATAATTACATCGTATAATATAGTATTGTATTTATATAATGTTTAATTTTCTAATAATTACATTATACAATACGTAATCATACAGTAATGCAAATTGCAAAAAGTATTGTAATGTATGTATTACACATATAGTAAAAGGTATAAACGCTAATTGTATTATTAAAGACATATAATTAATTTTAATTTTGACCAGTCATCGTAAGTCGAAATGTTATTATTAACATATATAGCAAAATGTTGTTAAATTTATCAACATTCATACATTTAATGACGTAAACAATTTCTTTACACGATTTTTACTTGCCTATTATATATATAAACACAATTTATTTTAAAAAATTTCATTTTACAAAATCAGAGTAAAGATCACAAGAGAAATCGTCTATCTCTCTCTCTTCTACTACAAATTATTCTACAAAGAGTATATATTTCATATAAACATATAAAGTATGCTTTACTATACATATAACATTAAAATTTATTATGATCATTTATTCTGGTCGCTAACATTAACGCTGAAATAAAATGGATGGTATAATAAAACAGATCAGAGATTGATATTAATAAGAATAGATGATGATAAAATATATGACAATACGATTCTATTAATAAATGCAAGAAATACGATCAGTCATGATCCAATTATTGAGAGATGCTGATTGGTTGTTCTCGATGTGGCAATCACAACGAAAACTACAAAAGATAGCACCTAACTATCGACCCAATTTTTATCAACGATCTTGTTGCAAGTGTCATCATCATCTCTACATCTGTTCATAGAAAGCATAAAATAATCACATAAATGCATAAAAAAATCTATCACGCAATAATTTAGATTAAAAATCGGAAACTTGACAATATCAGAATATAATCAAATTGTCAAGAAACAAAAAATTTTAAGAGACGACTATCTGAAAAATTGTTTACGTCAATTATATTTTACTATAAATTATATTTTTCTATAAATTTTTAAGAATCAAAAATAAAACAAAAAGTGAACGTCTACAACTTTATCAAAAATGACAAGTTATATGCCACCAAATTATATGCCGTTGGAATCAAAATGGCGGCATTATCCAACGTACATCTACTCAAAAAATTACGGATACGGAATAAATTATTATCAACCAATGATTGATTATATAGATTCCAAGCGAATCGCTTCAAAATCATCTTTACCAGAACTTGAAAAAAGAATAGAATTACCTGAATTACCCTGGTCTGACAGCAAAGTTTTGTGGGAAGACAAAAAAGTGCAACCCTATACGAGAGATGATCTTATTAAATATGCAATTGACGCTGAGGACGAAGCCAGAGATCACCTATCTCGTTTTAAGGTACGGTATTAGCGAGAAAGTGTGAAGTTGATAAGTTTTTGCAAAGAAAAATTTTTGGGAAATACGAGGCGATCCGTTCTCCGAGTGCTGTGCGCTTTGGCGACTGTTCGACCTTTTCGGTTTCTAAATTTGGTACCGCGAGAGAGGTTGCTTCGTTTCAAGTGGCAATCAAAGACATGTGCATAGAAGCTGTGCGTAATCCGTGTCATTATTGACGTCGTTGCATTTTCTTTCGTAACATAACTTATTTTTCGAGCAGAGATATGCAATAACAACGTATTATTTTTTCTTTTATTTAATTTTGTAACAAATAAAAATTAATTGCGTAAAATTTGCTTCTTTGATATATTCGTAAATTTTCTTTTAAATATCATAATTTAATGAAACGACATTGGGAATAATATAAAATTTATTTACAAAAAATAGATTTTAAAGATATATAAAAAAATGTAAGAAATTTTATAATTTAAATAAATTGTACTAACTTATTTATTGCAATAATATAAATAAATTGTTTATTTAAACGCATCGTTCTGATATCTGTTGTTACTAAATAAATAAATAATTATTATATAATAGTATATATCTTGACAATACAATTCTTTTAATAATACGATCATATAATAATATTAATAATAAGATTATATAATAGTATATATCTAAAAGTTAAATATATAACAAACAATATTTATAAAATAAAGCAGTTTACTTTTGTATTTATACTTTTAAATGCAACCGTGCATACTGTCTTAAAGTATTCTAGTATAGTTAATATAGTCTATAATACAAATCATATCTTTAATAATATTTATAATATTAGAAATATCTTCTCTAAAAAATAATAATAATTACATTTTCGTTGAACAACTAGCATATTTTAGTATTCTTTGGAACCTAAATAGAAAATTTGATTATAACATAATACAATCTTAAAAGCAATGTTTATATATCCAGAGAGGATAGAGTTTTTCTATACTAGCATTTAATAAAACTTTCCTAAATAATTCACTGCAGAAGTTTCCTATATCAGTTCAGAAAAACTATCCGAGCTAATATAAAAATATCGCGAAATACTGCACCGAACAATTTCTTGGCATCCTATTATTTGAACTATATCTCATAGTCGTGATTAAGTCAGAATAGTTTGCCAAATCGTACAAAAGAACAAAAATCCATTTCTGTTCCCGGACGAAAGGAACAGTAGGTGTTCGGTGCATTGGCAGTCGCTCTTGAATCTCTCAAGAGGGTCGGTCATGAGTGGCGCCGATTACTATCGCATTCTGGACCGCTGCGGCTAAGTTTAGGTGACCACGTCGCACAAGTGCGCGTGCACGACGGAAAACGGTGGTGCCCGTTAAATGTACGCACAGAAAAACACGAGCGATCAACGTGCGACATAAAATTGACGCTGACCATCTGTCTGCCTGACGTGCCCGAAGATAGCAAATCGCTCGGACTTCAGCCTGGCCAAGACCGTGCAGGCCAGCCGCGTGACCAAGGAGATTTTTCCACGTACTGGAAAGGACCTGAAAAGACTACCCATGCCGTTGATGTTTGCCAGCACTCGTGCCCGCAGCGAGATGAAGGAGATCCAGCAAGAAGCGATAAGCAATATTAAGCTGCAGGCGTTGAAAGATGTTCGGATGATGACCGAGGTGAATGACGCGTTGAAGCATGCTAAAAGTCTTCGTGGAAAATCTGCGAAAGCAATAGAATTTCATCTGAGGACAGAAGCGCTGAAGAATCTGTCCAAGAGCCAGGAGTTGGCTGATATCCGGAAATTTCAAAAGGAAACCGTGAATTCTCTCTGGGACGACACGGTACGCAGCAGATTGATGAACGAAAGGGCCAAGGTTCTAATTGATGAGGACAAGTTGACGCAGCCACTTAATACGCTCAGCAGAGAGCTGCGCGGATTCGAGCAGAAGTCCAACAATTATTTTCTAGATAAGAGGTATCAAGATCGTGCGAGATGGGAACTTTTGTATGGTTGTCGAGGATGCGAGTATTATAATGTTAAGCGTAGTAGATAGATAAGAGTTGTGACGTTATCGAGTTCTCAGTAGAAAAATGGTACAATATTTTAATTTTTAGAAAAGAATAAAAATGCGTGAAATAGAAATAAATGATTTTAATAATTGATATTTGATTTTATGTCTAGAAGAAGTTTATTTTTCTTGTAATAGTTTATTTTAATATCCCTTTGTTCCATAATATTATATTCTTTTATTATCGATTAGTATTGATTTTAAAAGACGCGAAAAAATTGTGTAAAAGCAGTCAAAAATTAAATCCCAGAATGGATAAAGTAAATCGATAGACACCAAATAACAAGTAGGACTACATATTAAATATTAGATGTATCAAAATTATTTGGAAATAGTAATCAACAAAATGTGTCCTTAAATTCCGAAGAATAGCACTGTGATTGAAAATTTAATTGTTTAAATAATATTTATTAAAACAGAGAGAATAAAAAGTCTATTTGATATGTTTACATCGAATGAAATTAATAGTAAACAGACCAGCATCGAAATCGAGCAGCTAAATGCCCGCGTGGTGGAAGCTGAGACGAAGTTAAAGACCGAAGTTCAGCGTATAAAGAAGAAGCTCCAGATTCAAATCACCGAGCTCGAATTGTCCTTGGATGTCGCCAACAAGAACAACATTGATTTGCAGAAGACTATTAAGAAGCAGTCTCTCACTTTGACGGTAATATCGACACTTACATTTGCCAATATGTCTAAAACTATAGCAACCATTTTATACGTTTAATTATTTTATTTTTCAGGAATTACAAGCTCATTACGACGAAATACAGCGCCAGTTGCAAGTAACCCTGGATCAATTGGGCATTAGTCAACGTCGTCTCCAATCATTGACGGCTGAGCTCGAGGAAGTCCGCGGTAATTACGAATCTGTAAGTAGAGGAATTGATTTGAAGCACTTAATTTGAAAGAGATTGATTACAAAATCTGTGTTTAAAAAGTTTAGTTTATCTTCCGGATAAACGAAGGTACGAATAAATACCACATTATATAAGCGTTACGTAATGGTTATGTATAAAGCATGAAATTGTGTTGAAGGCCCTGCGTGCAAAGAGAACTGTTGAGCAACAATATGAGGAATCGGTTAGCCGCATCAACGAGCTAACTACAATCAATGTAAACCTCGCTTCATCAAGGGCTAAACTGGAGCAAGAACTAGCCACTTTGGCTGGAGATTACGAAGAGGTCACTAAAGAATTGCGAGTTAGCGATGAGAGATATCAGAGAGTACAGAATGAACTCAAGCATACCGTTGAGATTCTCCATGAGGAACAAGAGCGTATTGTCAAAATTGAGGCTATCAAGAAATCGCTGGAGATTGAGGTAAAAAATTTGTCCGTGAGATTGGAAGAGGTTGAGGCTAACGCCATTGTTGGAGGCAAGCGCATCATCAGCAAGCTCGAAGCCAGGGTAAGAAGAAAGATAAAACTTTTTTCATTTTAATATTATGTCATTCTCTTACTTCAAATGTAACACTAAAAAAAAAAATGATTTTCGTGTTATCAACATAAATGAATTAGATAAAAACTATTCTATCAATTATCAAAAGTAAACTAACTTAAATTCACAGTCTATATGTCTTTGTCAAATAGCACTTGTGTCTTAAGATTTTCAAAAAGTGTTATAATATCTTCTATAGAAAGGGCACATTTAGAGTTGTATTATTTTTATAAAGAAAAAAAAGAGAATATTTTACAGATAATATTTAGAATTAAGACAAGTTTAATGATCAAAGTTAGAAGAACAAATTATTTTATTTTAAATTCAATTATTTTAGCTGATTAAAATAAATATAATAATTAAACAGTTCATGATATTTTGAGTTACATCATTTTTAATTAATTATTCCGGATAATTTTGTAAGATGTCGAGAAATCGCAATTCAAAAAGAATGGTTTTTTAAAAATTGTAAAATTAATTTTCTCTATGTTAAAAAATAGTTTTTTCCTTTCTGAAAAACTTAATTTTTTTAGTCATTTTTAGTCATTTTTTAAGTAATAGATATATTTTTTAATATTTTAAAATACTATTTTATACAATTAAATATTAATATAAAAGTTTTATACAAAATTAAATAAATTTAATGTTTTGTTAAAATATCTTTTAGATTTTGTTAACAATGCTTTCTTGATAATATATGTAATATTTATCATTATTATTATTAATTTTTAATACATTTTGTTTCTCTAATTCTTGCATAGATTCGTGATCTGGAACTCGAGTTGGACGAAGAAAAACGTCGACACGCTGAGACTGTAAAGATACTTCGTAAGAAGGAGCGTAACATTAAGGAGGTAATGATTCAAGTTGAAGAGGATGCGAAGAACATCGCTCTGCTGCAGGAATCATTTGACAAAGCATCCCAGAAAGTTAGCATCTACAAGAGACAGCTGCAGGAACAAGAAGGCATGTCCCAACAAAGTGTCACCAGGGTCCGCCGATTCCAAAGAGAACTCGAGGCCGCGGAGGATCGCGCCGACACGGCAGAGAGCAATTTGAGCCTGATCCGCGCCAAACACCGCAGCTTTGTCACCACTTCAACCGTGCCCGGTTCCCAGGTATACCTCGTCCAGGAGACGAGGCAGGATCTGTAAAATAATCACCGTCATCTTACCCTTTGCCACTTCGAACGTCGTCGTCTTTATAAACGTATGTTTAGTATAAAATGTGATACATAAAATAATATAGAATAATTGAATTTTTTAATAAATAGTACCCAGATAATAAAAAGTGTCTAAAATCAGATCATAAGACGTTTTTTGCGCCTAAAAAACAACTTAAAGAAGTCTTATATCATAATTTTAGACTTTGTGTTGTTTGGATAATTAGTCTTACAATTGAAGAATAAAAATTTTGTATGACTGTCTAATATTAATAGATAACAAATTATATTTTGCAATTATTTTTAAAAAATAAGAAAATTTAAAATGGTACTTAATTTTGTCAGGCACAATTGAACATCCTACGAGAAAAGAAGAAAGAAGAGGATGCGATCAATCATCACAAAAAGGCCGAGAAAGAGAGAGAGAAAGAGAGAGAAAGAGAAAGAGTTTTCAACGGGCCGCAAACGTGTTATTTTCAAGGGGTTTAAATTGGAGCAACCAGAATACGCACCTATAAACATATGAATATCGATACGAATATAGTGCTCACTGTCACGTAACGACCCGTCGTAAATTCGAAATTACTTGGCCAACGAAATGCGATACATCGCAACGAAAACATTACATTAAAAAAAAAATTAATGCTCACTATTTAAGAGATTTATTAAAGAGATTTATCAAAAACGTTAAAATTATAAGAATCAATATATTGTTTAATAAATGATTAAATAAAATTTAACGATCTTCTCGTCCCAATTATGTGAATATAATCGAACGTAAGAGCAGAGAAAATATAAAAAGTTCAAGAAGAAAACAATGGTAATTTACGTCCTTCTATACGCGCGTGTCGCAATTGTATTTAAATGAATAATTTTAATTCTATTCTATTACTATATAGATAGGTAACTATTGCCCATATACATGACTCTCACTATACAACATACACAATAACCTGTGTCAACATTAATTTAATAAATAAAGTGAAACACGTACGTACGAAAATGTTTGTGTACTTTATTTTCCACGTTTCTAAAAAATATCCTAAAACATTTTATTAACTACTACTTATTTTATAATAAAAAAAGAATAGATCAAAAGTTTTTTTGAGTTTAATAATTCTAATATATTTCCTATCGAATATTTTGACTGTAAAAGCACGATAACTATACATATACTTGGAGAAAAATCAATCAAACTTTGAACCTCAATCATTTTATTGGTACTTTTGGGATCAGAAAGTTAATCTTATAGCTATATATTTTGAGATAAAAAGAACAGTACTGATTAATTTGCAAAAATTTTAAAAATTCAAAAAGAGGAGTACATTTTATAGAAAAATTGAACATCATATGAAGAAAACTGATATTGTGAAATCCAATTTTGAAAGAGCAAGTTGGAGCAGTTGGATGAAAAACGTATAATTTCTACGTCCAATTTATCGCAGAATATTGAATCAGTAGCATAAATATATTTTATTAAAAAATTTTATTAAATATTTCTCTATTTTATTAAAAAATTAGTCGGAGTATGAAAAATTGATGTAAATTCTGACTACTGTAGCAATTGTAAGAGTGTATCATCAGATAATGTATCAGATGATGTATTTGATGATTTGAAAAACAAATGTATTGACATATGTGAAGCATTAAAAAAATGAGCGCTGACATTTAATATATGTCATAATGCATTAAAGATATTACTGCATATTTTAATTTATTCAAAAATATCTAATATGTCTCAAGATCTTAGGACACTATTGGAAACACCAAAAACAGTAACTACTACAAAAATGGGAAGCAGACATTATTGGCACAATGAACATATTTGCTTTGAAAGGTGCTTATCATGTGAAAATTCGATGTATATCTATTTTAATATCGATGGATTAACAATTAACAATAGTTCAGAGTACAGTTTTGGCAATATTGTTTTTGATACATTATTTTAATATTATTTCTATGATTATTGGAATTTATTGTGGGGAAAATAAACCTTTAACTCCTGATGATTTTTTAACTTCTTTTATTGACATAATTTTAACCATTTCAAATAATGATATTATCATCAACGGATATAAAATTAATATATGCATTCGATTTTATATGTGATACTCTTGTCAGATCTTTTATTAAAGATAATAATCTACAAAAAAATTTGATTTATTTATTATTAAACAAATATAATGAATGAAAATATTTATTAGAGTAATTATGTGCACTCTGAACATTTTTATGTGCATTATTTTTAATGTGCATTATTTTTTTTTTTATAATTATATTAATTGATAATCTTCTTTTACAGTACTCTTAATTTTAATGGTTATAGTTCGTATTTAACTATGGGTGAATATTATGATAAAGAACCTCGAATTAGTTTTCCACGTATAGAGATGCCTAATTGGACTGATGCAACTTTTCGCTCTCCATAGTATCGATTTTGACCATCATAAAATGAATTCACTTTTGGAAAAACTTTATACTACGATTCTCGCAGAAAAATAATGAAAAAAAATTAAGAAAAATAAAATAAAAATAGATAATTTAAGGTGTCCCCTGTGAACGTCAGCGCCTGTATGCATGTTGCCCGCCCTCACGAGCCAGGAGGACCCAGGATCCACTCGGCTTATCTGCAACAAAGTAACGGACGAAAAACGTTGCTGCACACGGGTAGAAATACAGTCAAAATAATTATAATCTAGAATAATCTAGATATAATTTGTATGCCATAGCAAAGACTAACATAATCAGTTTTAGGATAAAGTTAGCATGTGACAGCAAATAGTCAAACAGACACATGCGTTCATTTATGCGGCTCTAAAATTATTACTTAATGATCTATGCGTAGTTCTGTAATCAGCGCATTTATGAATTTGCGTATATTTGTCCGCGTTAGTATACTTATACATATAATATTATAAATTGTAATAAGTTGTAATGATTAATTAATCTTTAAATTTGATTTAATGGCAGAAATTTTAAGTTGTTATAGGTTCAATTAAAGCAAAAATTATTTTTTAATTCTATTATCAATATTTTTACATAATTTTAAAATAAAAAATTAACTTTAATCGAATATTAATTACATGTGAAAAACATTCTCCGTTTATTAATTTATCTTTATTAGAGCATCACACTGTTATAATATGAGGTTGTGATCACTTCTTTGTAGCAAAATACCTGTGCAGTCAAAATGGATGTGACATTGTTTTCAAAATCTAAAAATATCATCCCATTTTTGCTGTTAATGTTATTGAAACGTTATAATGATGTTGTGGCAGTAGCTGTAATAGACAAAAAAACTGTGATTTAAGTTGCAATAATGTCATTGCAGACGTTTTAAAGCTTCATGTGCTACTTAGTGTATAATTGCATTCTATCTGCAAAGAATTAATTACAATGAAATCTTGCGTGAATAATTTTAAACACTTAAAGTATATTTATAAAAGTAAAGTATATTTACAAAAAATTTAAAACTTTTATTATTATCTTTTAAATTTCATATTATAACAAATAAAAACTAAATAATAACAACTGACAAATAAAAAAATAAACAAGGAAAATTTGTTGTTTAATAAAAATAGAATATTATAAATCCAACTTTCCATGTGTATATAATTTATTTAAATATTAACACCATTTGTGAGAAAATGAGTGTGATACATCCTTAAAAATCTGATATGATAAAAGGTATCAAAGAAGAAAAAACAAAGAAATACATTAAAGTAAATTTAATTTATTCGAGCTAATTATTTCTTTTTCGGACCACTATGGCGTTTATTAGTAGGATCCGCTTAGAAGCCAGATTTGTGAAGCCCTAAACGTATGAGAATTCTATTTCTAATCGTACATCATATAAATGCCTTAAATTTATTTTATCAATTTGTTGTTCTTGTTAAATCTCATACGTTAGGCTTCAATAATCTCGCATTTCCAATTAAAAATCAAGAATTAATAATTAATAACATTAGATACGTATATCTATTAACAATAGTAAGATCCATCCACACCGCCAGGCACGCTTTATACAGCGGCAGTAATTAATGGTTGTGATTTAACATACACGTCACCGGTTTTATTTTATAAATCGTAGAAAACTTGATTCTAGTAACGAATGAGCGTATCGTAAAGAGTCGTGGAACGTGATTCGTTATTAACAAAAAAAAATGAAAAAACTTTATCGAGTTCGATAAAGTCACTTGCTATGTTTGAGCCACGAGACAAGTGAGATACAGTATTGCGATAATTATAAAAAACGGTAACTCATTGGATCGATGTTCTCGCAAGTTCGTGGCTTCTATTAACGCTACATTAACGCATTGAACACTAAGTAACAAAAACATAAAATTAATATTATGATATATAATTTCACACTCAACAGTATAAATGTAATATAACACACGTTTACGAAACTGTTACATTATTAGTTGTGAAATTATAATATTAATATTATGATCCTGTTACCTTGTGTTTATAGATCGTTTTAGTTCAAGAAAAATAAGCATCTCAGTCTTTAGAATATGTATACCAAATCAAGCAGCTCTCTAATAAAATATGCCCATAGAAAGAGTTGTTGCTCTCCATTTTCTTCTTTTGTTACAATTCTAATTTGCGATTTATGTATTTACTTTTTAGTATTTATAGCACATTATTTCACGATGTTTGATATTTTACAAACAACTTCATTCGATATAGATTTTATCCCACAATATACCTCGTTTTGTATAAGTTGAAATTCTCTGATTTATTATTTTTTTATTCTTATTACATTACAAGCCGTTAACACATTTCGCAAATTTCTTTTATTTCGAGATAAACCTTTAACAGCAACAACCTTCTGTGACACTATATTTATCGCGATATATTTGAGAGTAGATGGAAAAATAGAGGAGACGCGACATACCCAATTACAAATAATCAAAGTTAAAACGGTATCATTCATTAACTCAATCACCCTGCTGTTACAAAAATTACAAGTGCGCATTCTATCCATATATAAGTTTTTTCGATGAACATTTACACCATTATGTACAGAGTATTATACAATAAAATGGGAAACACAGAGAATAGAAATTGTGATATAGCAATAATGAAACGATGAACTTATCCTCGCTAATAGTATTACTAATAGATATTTCTTTTAACATATTTATAAAAGAAACAAAGAATTGCGTCTACAAGCAATTTAATTTGGAAGCTTTTATATTCTCTTCTTTATTACGCATTTCACTTGCATCAAAATAAAAAAAAAATAATAAATTATTTAGACAACAATAATTTAGACAACAATAAAACGAAAAAAATAGACGAATTTGTCAAATTGTTACAATTTTAAATTTAGAAATTTACTAATAATGCTCAAGCTGATTAAACGAATATCCGAAATTTTGTATAATATTGTACATTTAACGTAATCGTAAGAGCTGATCTTTTAAAATGTAATATAACTCTGCAAAAGAACAAACAACACAAAAAAGAATAGAACAATAATTAATTACAAACAAAATATCGCAATTATTATTAGAGACTTGTTTAATTATATAGAGAAAAATAAATAGAATAAGAGCTCTTTGTTAGAGGTTGCAAAAATATTAAAAATTTGCGATATCTTCTCCAAACAAATGAAAAATATTTTTGGTCTATAAACCTTTAGCAATCGCTAATTAACTTATTTATATAATATTTATATAATATAATGCGTAGTATTATATTGATTAAAAAATCGCACTGTTCTGATTAAATTACAAAAAAAAAACCACTTTTTAATTATAAAATTCAGAACAGTTTTCGATACTCTTTTTCTAACCTAATATTGTTTAATTTTGTAATTGTATTATGCTTTATAAAAAACATATCCTTTTTCTATAAAAAAGAAAAAGGAATTTTTTGCAATATTTGGGGTATTTTAAATTAATTATTTATACATTAAATATTAACAAAATATGACAAATAACTTACATTAGTATACAATTGTTGCGTTTCATACTATAGAAATAAAACATTTGC